TAAGAGCACTGCTTCCATTAGGGAGGGTTTTATCCATCTCTCTTATTTCTCTTGTACCTCTGTCACCTCTCCTTGCTGTTTTCTGGCTTCTTGCCTATTTCCTTCTCCCATTTTTCCCTCCTCTCTCCTCAGTCTTTTCCTTCCCTTCCTTCTGCTTTTGTCTTTGGCCTCTAGTGACAATTACAGTAGTTCTTTCCCACCAGTTAGTCATGGACAAAATGCTTCTTCTCATCCTGGCTTTAAATGATGGCTTATATCACAATACACCACTGCATCAATTGTGGAAATTAAGTGTTTGGTACAAAAATAAGTGTAACCTGTTACTCCATGCCTCTTTCCCTAGTAGTGTTTGAGAGTAATAGCTGATACCTACCTCAAATTGTTTTTCTAATTAAAGTTTGTAAGAAGGATTGATCTCATTTGCTGGACATCTGTACACAAGTACAAGGCTTACAAGTGAATCATACAATCAGAAGAACAACACTGCTGGTGTTGTTATTAAGACTTAATTTACTGTAGGGCATCCCCACCTCTTTTGATCCTGGTAGATTGTATTACTGACAGCACATAACCGAAAACATAGAATTGGCTAGCGGCAGAGCTGGAGGACTTTGCAGCTAGATAAGGACACAGCTGGGAAGAATTTGGGCAGTTTTTAGATAAGTACATGAGCGGGATATTTCTGCAGAGATCATCATTCCCAGTGTCCTGGGAAAGAAGAATCAAACCAGCATCCATTGAAATCTTGCCTTCTTGGAGACAACAATGTATTAAGTGTTGTTCCAAAAGCATAGATGGCATTTACACAACTCCATGTATGCCACTTTAGCATTACTAGCCATTTTGTGCAAGTGCTTTCAGTTCAAATGCTGGCAGTTCCTAATCCTCCTAACTCATTTGGCTAGATGTCTTTTGGCAAACTTGAATCAAGATTTTGAGAGGAAAGGAAAAGGAGAAGGCAACTAGCAAAATGGTTTAGTTCTCACACATTTCACAGGAAAAGTAGTTTCTATGAATATCACTCAGTCACCTGGTGACATGGGGCCTCTCTCTGTATGGCAGATGCAGCCTGCCTTTTCTGCCTGTCAGCATCTTTGCTGGTTTAACACATCAGCTTATTTAGTCTCTTGCCTTCTAAGGCTTTTTCTTCACCAGTTCATGAGCTGGCTTTACAATGGTTCATATTCAGCATGTGGTATCAAGGAGTGAAAGATTAGCCTTCCTACTTCGCCTTGGTCTTTAATGTAATATTAAATGGTACGTGGATAGAATCCTTGTGCCAAAAGAGAAAAACAAGGATAAAGTAGTATGGCGATACTCTTTTGCATTCCTCCAACTCCTTTTATCCGCACATTTCAGAGCACCTTGCCAATGCTCTTATGCACTGGGGAGCGTTAATTATCTCCATTTTACAGACAGAGCCACTGAAACACAGAAGCAAACTGCGTCATTTATGATCTCATCGCAAATCCGCAGCAGAGCAAAAAATAAGATCTCCTGGCTGCTAGTCCCATGCTTGATGCATTCGATCATACTTTCTCTCCTCATGGATTTCAGGGTTTTGGAATTACTTTGGAAGCAGTGAGCTGTTTAGAAATGTGCTTTAGCTCCATATTGATTTTAACCTGTTTAAACATTTGTACATCTCTGCTGTAGACTTATCTTTAGAAATGGCTCCAAACATTTCTAAGCCTCAGCACTGCCCAGTAGGACTGATGTCTCCGAAATGCAGTTTGCTTTTGCCGTTCTCTTTGCAATGAGGTTTCTCTGGCATACGTTCTTTTAATAACGAGGTGGGATCTGGTCCCTAATCCCAACTGTTGTGCCTTCTGCCATGCCACGTGCATGGCAGGAGGCATGGTTTTGGAATTGGGGATCAGATCCCAGTCGCATTGTTGCTACTTGCCAGTGCAGGAGGAGCCTGGGATTATTTATCCTGGGTGCTCTCTGTACTGGCAAGGTCAAAACTGAGTGCTGCAGCCCCACATGCAGGCCTCACAATCACCTGATTGTTAGCCCTAGCTGGATAGTCCTGGGTCAGGTGCCAGACCCAGAGCTGACTATCAGCCCTAACCATGAATAGTCTTAGGTCCAGTTCAGGGCAGGCAGTCAGCTAATTATCAAAACCACACAGCCAGCATCTATCTGTTGCTTCTCCCCCTGCCCCACTCCCTCTCCCTCCCTAGGAGCCTCTCATTCCCCTCTGTGCATCCACCCCCAATCTGGCAGCATGGCTAGAGATGCCAGGTGTCAAGTTTGAAGTCCCCCCATGGAGAAAGCTTTGGGCCTAAATATCTACTTAGCATTGGCACTATTCAAAGAAGACAAGGCATACTACAGATGCAAAGGAAACCCTCTCAATTTCTTATTTGAGAAATATTATTCTGACATGTCTCAGGATTTTGTGTGTATTTTTTCATAGTTTCCTGTGGCAGTTTGATCTTTTCAGGTGACAGACATCTGCCCAATAAAAAGATGTTGCCTCAACTTATATAATGAGGGCAAATAAAATGGATCCTAGGAAGGAAAACAAGGAGAAACTCTGTTGCTCTGGATTCAGAAGTCCAGCTGCTATTCCAGTGTCTCTACAGATAGTAACTTTAGACAGTCATTCTTTAGCCAGCACTGCAGTACCTTTTTTTCCCAAATACCATTTAATGTCATTGTGTCACAGTTCATTTTAATTTTGTGTCCCCATATCTCTTAAACTACAAATATTTTCGCTGCTTGTCTCCAGCCAATATAGAACTTAATCCTATGGGATCCATAGTCCAATAATGGATAGTCGTTTTAAGGCCAAATGCTTAGATTTTGCAGCAAGGTATTTTTAAATGAAGCAGTCCCGAGACAGTGTTAAGGACTGTAATCACTGCTGATTGAGAGAGAATGACAGAAAGGGGACACTGCAGAGGAACCTCTCCTGAGCAGGAGATTGCTGAAAAAATGGATCTAAACAAACCCGTGCCTTAAAGAGAGCATGCGCACTGTGTGCAATACCAGAGTCACTGAATGTGGTAAGACTGTTAGTGAATGTGTTTGTACCATATACTTAGGAGAAATAATAATAGGGAATATTATTAGAAATAATAGTAACAATTAGTAATAGTGGATTATTAGAAATTTAAAATAGGTTGACCTGTGGACTGTTCCCTTTTTTTATTCTCACTTGCCTTGTGGAAGATGCCGGCAATTTGGGCATCTTCTTCATTTGTACTACATCAGTGGTGCCCTATTATTCTCTAGACCTGTGGGGAAGCCCATCTGTGGGCTGTTCCTTGGTTACTAAATGGACCAGTTAATAAATGGAACAGTTATCAAGACAGTTTAAAATTAAGTGCCAACAGTCTGCCCACACAGTGAGAAACAGATCAACATTTCCCAACATGGCAGTCCTGTTGAACATGTCTGGGCTGCTTTCATAGCCTTTCCTGAGTAAGCTGCCAAGAAGCACACCTACCTACCTACTCCCACTCCATATGTGCCAAATTGGGAAACAAGGCAGCGAAACCATATTGAGGGCTCCCGCCCGGGGGTGCTGTGGAAGCAGTATTGACATGGCCATTGTCCTACTTGCTTTGTCTGTATCTTTTAGTCTTTATAATGCACACAAGTGTTGTCTGTGGCTTTGTGAGCACAAGTAGTTTTGCCTTGAGCCTGACAAGATGTTTGCCGTACGTGCTTTTTAAATAAAGCTGTGCTGCACTTGCTGTGCACTATGACTCTGCAGCATCTTTGCCACTAATCCTAATCCTCCTTGAGTGACAAAATGCCACTGTCACCCGAGGCTGGCTCTGTGGGCTGCATCCCAAGGTTCTGTGTTGTTCAGGTTTTGGTATGAAAAAATCAACTTCTATTAAAAAAACATGTTTCTCTTAAAATTAACTTATGTTGCTGCCAGACCAATTATTTTGTGTACTTCATCAAACATTTCCTCTTCACCAGTTTCAGAGCTTCACTTTGAGGTTCCCTCGACCCCTTTCTTCTTAAACACAATATCAAATCTAACTAATCACACTTAATTTTGGATGGCAAACTGGGCCCTTGAATTGCAAATATGCCCATCTCTCTGAATTCCTGTCTTGTCTACACACCAGGCCAACCCAAATAATATGCTGACTTTAAATTCCAAAGTGCAAGGAAGAGTTTAATATTTTGATGGTTTTTTTCTCTTTTTTTTTCCCTTTGTATCTCTATTGTTCTTTTGATTCCAAGTTCCTTTCTCATAAAGATAAGCTTCCAAACCTGTGGCAGCCAGTCACGACTGATATGTTCACCCCAGAAAAGGGAAAGGACTTTGTTGGCACCTATGTCCTGAGACCAACATGGCTACAGCCAACACCCCTGTCCAATCTTACTCCACTCTCCTCTAGAAGAATATTGCAAACATCCCAGTTTGGATTTCACAGGCCACCTTCCATTGAAAAAAAGTAGAAGTATTTAAAAAAACAATGAGATACTAACCCTTTTCTTGCCCCATGTTGTCCAGAATATTGTATACTAGGGTGTCAAACTTAGCTGGTGTCCCAGGCTTGCTCGTATGCCTGCTGCTGGGGGGAAAGGAAAAGCTGCATTTCACAGGAGGCCATTGCTGGCCATGCCCCAAAATTCCCTATGGCTCGATGAAGGGCTTCTGCCGGCCAGATCCAGCCCATGAGCCAGGTGTTTGGCGCCCTTGGTCTGTGCAAAAGGTCTGATTTTTTTTTTTTTTTTTTTTTTTTTTTTGGGTTTTT